AAAAGAAATAAACTGGGAAAAAAGTGGTTCACATCTGTAGTCATAGCTCTGTAGTACAGAGATCTGGGGAATCATGGTTCAAGCAAGGCCAGCACAGGCACCAAAATTGGTGAGACTCCTTCTTGACCAATAGCTGGTGCAATGGTATACTCTTGTCAGTCTAAGCTATGGGGAAACACAATGGCTGGGACCAGTGGAGCTCAGTCCAGGCCAGCCTGGGCATAAAGCCAGACCCAATCTTGAAACTAAACAACACAAATGGTATATAGCTCTAGTAGCAGACCACCTATCTAACAAGTATAGGGCTCTGAGTTCAAACTCCAGGACTGCCCCCTCCAAAAAAGGTAATAAAATACTTGCAGATAAAAGTATTTTTTTAAAGTCCCCATTTGCAGATTATATGACTATTGGAAGTGGCACTATGACTCAAGTGATAGAGCGCTAGCCTTGAACTGAAGTGCTGAGGGACAGCGCCCAGGCCCAGAGTTCAGGCCCCACGACTGACAAAAAAAAATTATATGACTATCTACATAGAGTCCCCACACTCCCTAAAAAATAACAAAATTTTTGCAAAGCTACAAGGAAACAAGACCAATGCACAAAAACCAACAGTTTCTATGTACTGAAAGTAAACACATGAAAACTGAAATTAAAATAAAATTAACTGCTTCCAAGAAAATAAAGTATCAAGTTTATTAAAGCTAATCCAAGAAAACCAAAATGTTTGCTGAGAAATGCTCAGCCAGTTCTCCCTCACATTATTAGATAATCTAACAATCCCACTTCTGGGTGTATATCCAAAAGAATTGAAAGCAGGACTCAAAAACCTATTTGTACACAATGTTCATTATAGCACAACTTGCAACAGTTAAGAGGTGGAAGCTGCCCTTTGTCCACTGGAGACAAATAACAAAATGTGCTACAAACATACATTAAAAGGGGGGGATGCATATCACAGTATGGGTAAACCTTGAGGACTCTTCACTAAGTGAAAAATGCCCAGTCACAGAATGGATAAGCACTGTATGAGTTCACCTACAGAAGGCATTTTAAAGTTGTCAAAATTACAGAGGCAGAGGCTGGAGGAAGGGGAAAATAAGTTACTTAATGGATGCAGAGTTTCAGTTTTACAAGATTAAAAAGCTCTTGGTTAACCTACAACAATGTGAATATATTTAAAAACACTGAATTGTACATTTAGAAATGGTTAAGAAGGCAAATTTTATGTTAGCTGCCTTATTTACTGCCAATATTGTCAAAATATTATCCTAATATGGAATCTGGATAAAAATAATTGATACTCTACTTTTCTTTTCTTTTTGGTGCTGGTTCTTGGGCTGGATTCTATGGCCTAAGACTCTCCTTGAGGTATTTTGCTCAAGGATAGAGCTCTACCACTTGAGCCACACTTCTATCATTTTTGGTAGTTAGTTAAAGATAAAGTATATCTCACAGACTTTTCTGCCCAGGCTGGCACAGAACCAAGATTACAGGCATGAGTGCCCAGCTCCACTTTCTTTTATCATAATACATCTTTAAAATACAGTGTGTGGACACTGATACCACACCTGGATTTGAACTAATCCTAGGCTCAATTTACAGGCAGTTTCCCTACACCTAATTCCTACAGTGACATTCCTTACAGCTGGAACCTAATACTCAGAAATATATGAGAAGTCAAGAATCAAGTCCTCTATGTGCTACCTGGCTTTGTTGAAGTTCTATTTTCCCTCAGTTAAAATTTCTTTTGAAAGGTAGTTCTGGGGATGTAGCTCCTGCCTAACTGTGCAAAGGGCCCTGGGTCAAATCCCGAGCACAGCAAAAACAAAACAAAATAGCTGTGGAAAAGCTAATCTGTAGAGCTCTATTGACTTTCGAATCTTCTGTTCTTCTTTTCTTCAGTCAAGCACCTCACTGGGGTCTGCATGACCCCCTGCCTCCCACAGGAAGCTCTTAATATAAAGGAGGGGCCAATTACCAGCTGCTGCAGAAATACTCACAGGATGTTGAAGGGTATAAAGAACAATTAACTCCCATCTGTGAGTTCTACCACACTGTGAGGGAATAGGTTTAAGTAACACAACCTGCTGGTTGTGGATACTCATACATACTCCTAATTCTCTTTTTCTTTCTTCTTTCTTTTACATTTTTGTTGGTGCTGAAAATGGGGATTGAGCCATAGCTCCACTCTGGCTTTTGGCTGGTTAACTTGCTTTAAGAGCCTCACACTCAGATCTCACCCTCCTGAGTAGCTAGGATTACAGGTGCAACCAGCTTCCTTTCTTATTTCTAATTGCACTGACTATACTTCAGAGTAAGAATGTATGTAGGATTTAATATGTAATTTGCATGAAAAATGTATAAGGCATAAAAACACTCATGGGAAAAGGAATTCACGGAACCAACAACATACCTTATAGCTGCAAGGTTTTATTAAAATAATCATTACTCAAGTTAATCCTCCCAGACCATATGCAAGCTAAAATGGTACAAAAGTATGTCTTTATGTTCCTACAATAAAGATAATATTCTTTCAACCTTTCTTCAGAAAAATCAGATATATGGAGTATAATACCTAACTGCTAGGCATCCTCACAAGCCTTCACTTCCCCATCAGAATAAAGATACAAGGACAAAACTTCAAGGCTCACTGTTCACTACCCAAGTAACTGAGCAGAAAGCTATTTTGTGGTTGAAGGAGCCCCTGGCTAAGCAGAACCTTTTTGTGACCTCACATTTGTGTTCCAACAGGGCAAGTCAATCAAAGACTTCTTAGGACAAATTCATTTTGTAATAACTATCAAAAGCAACATTAAAGATCCTAATGGAGATGGCTGAATAAGGAATAGAACATTGATCAACTTAGAATTGTGGTCTTCAGGCACTTAGCTAAGACTCTGAGGATAGCCAGGAAAAGTAGCTACTTAGTGACTACAAAAATTATACATTTAAATCGTCAAGTTAATAACCTTGCATTTGACAGTCTTCTCATGGTCTGAATCTCTCCCAAACAAATGTCTAAAACCTCAGTGAAGAAAACTTACCTTAGTATGTTAACTTCAGACAAATTCATTAAAACTCATCATTTCATTCCATGTATTCAACTCTAAGTTATCACATTAGTCTATGGAAGTTAACAGGATAATGCCTCAGGATCCAATACTTTACTTAGCAGGTATACCTAATAACTTTAATAATGTAGATTGTGATCTTGAAAGCTCTGAATCTGTCATCTCATCTCAACTAACGGTGCTTACATTATTAATAAATTGCTAAATAATATATTCATATCAGCATTCATATCTATGTTTATTAGAAAATGCACTAATACAGCCAGTGTTCCCGGCTACCAAGAAAGGAGAAATAACTTCCATGCATTAGGCTCCCACCTCCAGAGACTTTTCCATAGGCCAGCAGTGTGAACCTATAATAGCTTTCAAGGGGGTCCTTAAAATATACAGGTTTTAAATATACATACCATAAAGCTCTGTTAACTTGGCAAGAATATGGTAGGTTCACATCTACAGTGGCCAATTTCATGGGAAGCACCAAGAACTTGTAAGGCTAAAATGAGTTTGGGAGTAGCAGCACAGGCTGTAACTAAAGTAACAGTAATAATAAAATTTGCAGCTTCTTTCTATAAGGAGGAGCCCTACTTATATCTCCCAGTACAAGGCAGATGAATAGCCAATGTATATAGCTCATTGGTATTTGTCATTTTTGCTTGCGGTTTTCCAGGAGTATCCAACCTGACAAGGAACAACCCCTATAAAGTTCTTTCCATCTCTGTAACATGGGAATCAGTCTTCCTGATTTATTTCACAGAAGTTGGTGAAGGCACAGATCTGTAGGTCCCACATTTACTAACAGATTTATCACTGTACTCTAGAATTCAGGTGCTTGGGCTGATGATTTTGGTTTTAGTGACCCTACAGCATACAAGATATGATCTAAATCTTGGAATTTAAACTAGATTTCCTAATTGATAACACAGCTAATCTCTTTCCATCTTACGTATATAGGGTAGGCTCATCTGGACAAATGCCAAAGGTGACTGGTGAATGATCAAAACATGAGTCCTTTCTATTAGCAGCACAGTGAACCAACACAGACCCATCCTATTTCCAGGGTTACCAGAAATGTACATACTCAGGGGTCACAAGCCAGAGTCCCAGACTGTAATCAAACCTGCAGATGTTTCAATCTGGCCTATCTAATGTTTAGAGATCTAAATTAGTTGTCAATGCTTAAATGTCCAGATATATGCCCTTAAAAATCTGCATTCCTGGACTATCTTGTAATAAAGGAATGCCTACAATCTCAGACCACATGCCCTCTGGCATCAAGAACAAATGCTCTCCAAATTGCCCACGACCCCTACTAGGTTCCTTTCCCTGTGAGTAAGCTCCCTCAATGATTTTACTGTGCACATATCTGGGAATTCAAATTTGCCACTGCTAGTTCAGCTCCAATACTAACTTTAATCTCTGAAATAAAAAACTACAATCTGATCTCATCAGTATTATATCCAAACTTTCTGAGTGGTGAAACCCAAAGGGAAATGTAGGTAAGAGAAAAACCAGTTCCTACTTCTTGTAGGAACTATTTCATTTTCCAAATGTCATCTCTACAAATAATTAACTTGTTCCATCTCTTTCTTCACACTCCCAGTTACATTACTAAGCTGTTTTCTGTAACTGTCCAGTCCCTTTCAAACACAATGCTGTTAACATGTAACACATAGGGGTTAATACAATTTGCCATGAGAATATGCTTCACCTTGAAGGCCAGAGATTCAAGCTGATATTGATGCCATCTATACACTTCATGACTTTAAAAACAAACAGTAAAAAACACCAAAAGCTTGAAAAAAAATTTTTGAACACATTCTCCTTTCCTACCAGAACACAGCATAAATCACTGGAAGGATTGTAAAAGAAGGCTCTAAATGTTCCACACCGCCCTGAAACGTTCATGCATGTGCAGAAGCTACTGCTTACCCATTGCGCTGAGATAATGGTTGAAGGCCTGGCAGGGAGGACTTGGGGTTTGTGTTGATTTGTCACAACTCATGGGTGCCGGGCTCCTGTCTGTGTCAAAAGAGAAATACCCACTGGAGGATCGAGACAGCAGGGAAGATCTTCTCACAAAGATGAAAAGCGGGGATCTGGTAGCAAAAGGGCCAGGGCTGGCCGGTGGGGCCAGCGGGCCCTGAGGGCTGCCTTGGGGGCAGCGGTCCCCTTCGCCTTCGGGACTGCCTTCGGGATTACCTTGCTGCTCTGTCTGTAGGGAGGTAGGGGCCCCAGGCCTGAGCTGGGGAGGCCTCTCAGCAGGCTGCAACTGTCCACCTTCTCGGTCACACTCAGAACTTACATCGGAAGGTTGCTTTGCCATTTGGTCTTTTTTTCTGGAGGTAAAAGAAAAAGAAAAACTCTGTTTTATGTTCAGCAAAATAATTATAATCAATAGATAAACTTCGACCTATTCACTAAAATGTGGAGGGAATTCCACATACTTTGTTAACAATCGCTCGAATATAAAAGCAAAAATATGGAGAGATGGAACTAAACTTGGGAACACCAGAGAAAATAAGAGTTATGAACGCCAATTATTTTGCAGGGCTAGGGGTCTCCCGTGCACAAACATGCACACAAGGTTGCAGAGAAGCAGCTTGCTTGAAAAGTTTATTTGAATGTTCTTTTGCTCAGGACAGACTTGAATCAAATCAGAAATTCCCAGCGGGCTCTGATTTCCCGGGATCAGACTCTGCGCTGGAGTACAGCGCCGGGCGCAGATGCGGCGACTGCCTGCAGCTGGCCCCATTCCCCGCTTCGGCCCCATTGTTTGCCGAAAATGCTGAGGGCAGCAAGTCTGGGAAAGGTTTGGCAGCGGCCGTCAGTCGTAGTAAGTGCGTCACAATAGAGTTTGTAACTCAGCGAGCGCAGCTCCGCCCGGTTCGGGCGCTTCTCCGCCCGCGGTGCCTCCCGCTCCCGCGCGCAGCACCGAACCCGACACAACTTCTCCAAGATGCAGCGTGTACAGTTAGATGCACAATCCCAAATCGGGGACCCCCCCTCCCGGAACCGCCCTCCGACACCCCCGGCGAAGTCCACAGATAGTTCTGCACGCACGGCGACACCGGTTTCTCACCGCGCGATTCTCTTACTAGAAACAACCCCCCTCCGCCCCCACCGCGCCGTCCCTCCCTTCGCCAGGCAATCACACCGAAACTCACGTCCGCCCCTTCCCTTCCGTGCGTTGCGTCCGGGCCCGGGCCCCACGGCGACCGACCCGCGTTCTGCGCCGACCCGGCGCCCCCAGACCGTCACCACTCAGGCAGCGTGGGACACAAAGCGCAGCACCAGGCTTCAGAGCCCTCCGGGCAGCGCTGGGTGCACGCCTTCCCGCCCGCCCGCCGCCACGCTCCGCCGGGCAGCCCAGGGCTTCGAGCGCCGCGCCTCTGGCCCGCGCTGCGCCGGCCGCCGCCGCCGCCGGGAACATCCTCCGCCTCCTCCCGCTCCTCCCCTCGCGCTCTGCGCCCGCCGCGGCCGGCACCGCCGGCCTCCCCGCGCAGCTGGCGCCCGGTGCCCGCGCTCCCAATTGGCCCGTGCGCGGTCGCTCGGTGCTGCAGCCAATGGGCAGCGGCGGCGGGGGCGGCGCCTACGGGTCAGGCAGCCAAAGGCGAGGCGATTGTTGACAAACTCGCCCTCCAGCTCCACTAGGGCTGAGGCGGCCACAACCTCCAGACTGGGCTCTGGCTGTCCGCCCCGCCCCTGCGTTAGGGACACCGCGCGCGTTGCAGCAGTTCCCGCCGCCCCGGGCAAGATCACCTGGAGACAAAGCGAGACCGAAGAACTTCCCGAGACTAGATGGGCAGTCAACACACTGGTTCGGGTAGGTCGAGTTGCCGACCTCAACGGCTGCCCTAGCCCCGGCTGCAGCATCCAGCCGACTGCTGCAACTTCATCCTAGGTCCCCAAGCGCCGCGGGTACGCATCAAATCGGAACGACCATCTCTGGTCACTAGCGCACACACCCAACTCTCGTTCCCCAGTGTCCCGCGGGCCCTTGCACCATCAGTGCCAACCCCGGGGAAACACGTCCCCCGAAGGTACGGCGCCACCAGCCTGCACAGCAAACGAGTATCGGTGCGATCCAGCACTCGGGAGCCGCTAGGAGAGCCCAGCCCTGAGGACCGAGCTAGTTCTGCTGGTTGGTTGGTCCCCCGTGTGGCCTTAGTGGTCCGGAGAGGCCCTGAGTCCCTCGCGGCCAGTGGATCCTGTCTGGCTGACGTTGTCCGCAGGGCGCACACAGCAGGGGCTGGGCCTCCAGGCAGATCCGACAAAGCAACACCAGCAGCTAAACCTCGGCTTGCATGAGTCACAGGAAAAGACCAGCCTCGTCAGTTAAATCCCCACCGCAGTTCCGCAAACTCTCCGCAACGGGCTCATGCGCCCCAAGAGCCAAGCCGCCAAACCCTCAGGTACTGCGTGGCTACAAGTAGGGGATCGCCGGGCTGTTGGCGAAACTTCTCCTTTAGGCTCACGGGGCAAGTCCCCAGCACGGCGACGATAGCTCGCGCTCTCCCAGCCCGGCCAACAAGGCTTCATGACCCCCCGCCCCCCGCCGGGTGCGAAATCCAGGCCCCAGTCGTACTTCGGTCAGGTGTCCTCGGCGGCCCACAGCCAGCCCTGGCCTAGAGTGGACCTGCCCAGGAGGGGACCCGCCTGCACCTATTGCGACTAGTGGGGCAAATACGCGCGATTCTGCCTGCACGTGCGAGGGAAGCGGGCGGGGGATGGAGCGGCTCGAGCTCCGGCGCCTGTGCCGGTCTTCCTGCGGTCCCAAGCCGGTGCTCCGGAATTCGGAGGTGTTTACCTTGCGTTTCTCAGTCCGGGAGTCAGAGTCAGACATTGGGGGAACGAGGGCCAGGGGGGGGAAAGACGCCGAGGCGGTGGCCACAGGAGCTGGACGAGCCGAGCAGCCCGAGACGGTGCTGTCTGCAGAGGAGCAAGGATCGCGGAGCGGCTGCAAGAACCGGCGGCGGCGGGCAGCGGCAGGTCAGGGCGTTGGGCTCCTGACGAGCTGTCGACCCGGCGGCTGCGCGGAGCGAAGTGAAACCCGCGGGGCGCTGCAGTCCTGCTCAGACAGGCGGCCCCGCGCTGGCGCCCAATCACCTGGAGCTCCGCCCCTTGGAGTTCCCGCCCCGGCGGGCTGGCAGCTAAGCACCGCCCCCACAGAGCCGGGGCCGCAGGCTCCTGCAGGCTGGGACAGGTAAAGGCGGGGGTGGTCCCGACGGGTTCCCTGCGTTGCGCACCGCCCACCCCGGCGTGTTTACCCGAGTGACTCGGCTTGCTGGCAGCTGTGGCTGCCCATCCCCCCCCACCCCAAAGTGTTCCCCCTGTCGTCGGCGGACGCAGCGGCAAGAACAGGGAGGGCACCCCGGGAAATACTGCGCCCGCTGGGCACGGTCGCCGGAGGAGAGCTCCAGGAGGCCGCCTCTAGCGTTTGCTGCGCGGACTAGCTCCGCTTCGAGCTGTGCTGGGTCGCTCTTCGAAAACGGCGCAGGGCAAAGTTGGGCACCGAGTCTCTGAGCGTGCTCGCGTAAGAGTCCCAGGCGTCGGGTAGGACCCAGATCCGCGAGACGCTCGCTGTCCTCCCCGCGCCCCGTGGCCGGACTCGGACGTCGCTTCCGGTCACCCCGCGCGCCATCGTGGGATTTTTTTTTCCAGAGCTTAGCCTGGGTGAGAGACAACCCTCCCCCCCCCGCCCCCGGGATGGGGAAAGGTCAGTCAAGAAAAGCACAAACAGCAGCCCACAGCCGCTCCCACGCAACTCAGGTGCGGGGCGCGAACCAACTGTACGGCCGTCAAATAAGGAAATGGGGGGGGGGGAGAGAAGGAGGGAAGGAGAATGGGAGGGAGAGGACCCAAAAGAAACGATACTGAACAAACATTAGAAAAAGAAAAGGCACCCAAGAGAGCCTCGGTCTCCGATAGAGAAGGTGGTACGTGAGCTGGGCTGGGCCCGCGGGGACCGGCCAGATTCGGTCCTTCGGTGGGCTGGAGTTGGTGCCGGCGAAGCGGCGCAGTTCGGGCCGCGCTGGGGCAGCCGTCTAGAGGTCACAGTATTCCCCACCCTTCCTCCCTTTGCAACCCCAGCCTCGTTTTCGAGTCTTGACTCTTCCCTGTCCCCGGGAGACCACACTCCATCTCTTCTGTGGGTCTGCACCCCGGTTCTCCCTCCGAACAGGTGTCCCTGGCCCCATGCCTGGCCCTTCCTGCTAGTCCTTTGCGCGCCTCGGTTCCACGACCCCCCGGGGTGGACGGGAGCGCGGCGGGGAGTGGGAGGATGGGTCAGGAAACGGAACATCTTGCCTTCTGCGACGCCGAGCTGAAGAACACTCAATTGAGGAGCTACTCCAATCTGCACCTCTATCAGGACGTGGAAGGGGCCTCCAAGTAGAGGAGCGAGTGGGGAGGCCTTGCTGCGGCCGGGGCTCCGTGGGCATGGTTCGTGTGTAGAAGCCCTTCTAATGTCGGCGTGACCCAGCACCACCCCAGATTAGTCTCGGGTGCGTCCCGAGCGGGGGGCGAAGGACCGGCTAGAGGAAGCACGCCGGTCCGGCCCGGGGAGTTCGTAGCAAGAGGGAAAGGTCGAGGGCGTGGATATCGCGAACAGACTGGACTCTAGGAAGCCGAGACCTGTCCTAACCGCGGGAATCGCTGCCGTGGCCCTCGGCGGTGGCTCCCGTCGAGATTTGTGCCTCTGCAACTCCGCATCGGGGGTGGGGGTAGGCAATGCAACCTGCTGCGCCCGCGGGGAGAGAGCCCCAAGGGTGAGCTGTCAGCCACCCTGGGTCCTACCCGGTGCCACCTCGGGCGTCGGGCGACGCGAAGCACGACCCGCAAAAGAACCACGCCGCCAAGTCGCGTGGTCCGAGCGTCGCCCTGCCCTTGCGACCCGGTAAATACCTAGGCGTCGGGGAAAGCAAGGAGCTCCAGATTAGGGCTTAACAAAGAAGCCTGCCCGGAGGCGATGGTTCTCGTTAACTCGGACGAGCTGGGGCCCTTCCACCCGACGCGCTTCAGGCGGCTTGGAGCCCCTGTCCGGCCCTTTCCCCGCGGTGTGTGCGGGAATCCCTCCAGGCGTGAAGGGCATCGTGGGAAAGGCCGGTGGGCTCTGGCTCACCGATCCTGGATATCGCTCTCGCTGCAGGACAGTAATCCCTCCCTGCCACCGGCCGGCGTGTGGAGGGAGAAAAGCCAGGAGGACTCGGACTGAGCGGACAGGGGACATGCACGCACCGCGGGCGCCGCCTGTGGGGTCTTTCCAAGTTTCGAAACCAGTTCATTCGGCAGTGGATCCCCCAAACCCGCCTCCTCAGCACTCCAGGCTGCGGGCGCGCCGCCCTTTCAGCTCATTGCTTTATTCAGCTTCAAGACTGCACTCTTCTACGGGACAGATTGAACTTTTACGCGGGGCTAATGTGTGTGTGTGTGTGTGTGTGTGTGTGTGTGTGTGTGAGAGAGAGAGAGAGAGGGGGGGGGCGGGGGGGACTGATCTGGGATCAGGAAGCCGTCCACCGGAGGTGGGGGGTGCCGGGGGGGAGGAACCAGCTGGACTCCTTGCTCGACCGAAAGCACAACTCCAGCCCCCCCCCCCCCGCCCCCTCTCCTCGGGTGCGTTTCTGCGCGGAGCCCAGCCTCGGCTGGTGCCACTCGCCCAAGCCAACTTTTGCCGGTGCGTGGGGCGATGGGACGTCCCCCCTCTTCTTTTGCCTGAGGGTGTTTGATTTTTTTGTGTTTTGATTTTTTTTCTTTTAACTTTGCACCGCCGTTTTTCAAAATTACGGGGAATGTGAGTCACCGAGGACAGCAAATCCTCGAGGCCGGCATCGGGCGGTGGAGGTCGGGGCGGGGAGCTCCTGAGGGTCTGAGGAGGAGGGAGGAGGAGAGGAGCTCCCGGGGACAGGAAGGGAGAACTCCCCAGGAAGCGGCCGCCGGGGCTCCCTGGCCCAGCCGCCGCTGCCTACCTTCACCAGCCCCGGTAGGGACCTCGGCTTCACGATCAAACTGCCCGCGGGCAGGGGCCCCGCACGAGCCAGCCTGGCCTCAACCCCAGCTCCCGGGGCTAGCGGGGCCAGCTTCCTGGCAGCTCCAAAGGGGCCGGTTCACACCACGCCACGCGGGGTACAGCTTGGCCCGCGGCTCTGGCCGCGGGGCGCGGGGCTGGAGGGCGGGCGGCTGGCTCCGCGGGCGCGGGATAGAGGGCCCAGGAGGCCTGCGGGTCGGGGATTCCCGCTATGGGCGCTTGGAGGTCGGCGAGTGGAATGTTCAAGGCAGACCCCACCCTCAGGGCATCATTCTTCACCGACGCGCACGGGTGCAGCCACTGCCAAGCAAGACACAAAGGGCCAAGGGTCTGATGACGCGCGCTCTCCCTGAGACCCGCGGCTTTCTGCACACCCGCACGCAGCTGAGCACTCAGGAGGCGCGGAAACCAACCCTTCCCTGGGACGCAGTAGGCCAGAAGCAATTGGCTATGAATAACCCTCGGAACACTATTTATCTCCTGAATTTCGAACTGTCCCCTAGCAGACCAGACATCTAGGCGTTTTCCGTAAAAGGGTGGAGGTGGCGACTTACTCGCCAGAGCCCCAAGTCTAAGAACTAAGCTCTTCCGCCCTCCCCCCCCCCCCCCACACTCCTTCTTTCTCTTCTCCCTCGAGGTTCCCTTCCTTTCCTCCTCTGGAGTGGCTAGGGTGCCACCTTCCGGCGCGCAGAGGGCAACTGAACAGAAGAACCTCACCGCAGGTAAGCCTGCTCCCAGCCTTCCCAGCTAAGAGCGGGCCACAGAGAGGATTGTGGAATCTGCAGAAAGGGACAGAGGACCAAGGTTTGGCATTCTTGGACACTCTGAGCACTTTCAGCTACACTCCAGAGACCTGCAGTAAAGCAACACAATGTTGTTCAGGCAGTCACTGGCAGCCATGGAGAAGACAGACATCCCTGGTTCAAGAGATGGGATTTACAGGTCAGTGATTTTGAGAAGCTACACTGGGCATATTGTTTCATTTTCCACAGTTTACGTGCCGGAGCATTATTTTCACATCAGAGAAGAGAAAAATCATAGATTATTTTCTGTATCTGAATAATTGCAGAGGGATGGCTTTTCCCTTCTCCTATCCAATTCTGTACTGAACTCATCATTTTCAACTTCTCAGCAAGTAGTAAATTCCTTTCACATTCCAAATCACAGTAAGCACAAGTTTTTTGGTGTATATAATTTTGAACTCATCATTTCCACTACCCCCAACTTTGTCCTCCTGGATGGTAGAACCCTGAGTAGCACTGAAGTTAACAGCACATACTTTCCTTCTGTGGCATTCTAAAATGCTATCTGAAGTGTTCAAAGGAGCTCACAGAATGCAGATGGGATTGGAGGTGGAGGAGGGGAAGAGCATGAATTATAAAAGCTCAATTATGTATCTTTCTTGAAAATGTCCTCAATTACATCAGTAATTTCTAATGAAAAGCCTCATTCTTCACACATTGTGGTTAAGCACCATCAAATCAGTACTGAAAAGACTTTGATCATATTTGCAAGATGCGCAGATGAACTTTCACTGACCAAGATTTCAAAGTTCATAATTAATACTCTTGACAAATCCCTGACTAATCTGTCAACTTTCAATGTCTTTAACCACAAGGTTCAAAATCATGAGATGGTGTACACAGCCTCTGAACTTTCCACATAATGTCACATAATTATTCAAAATACATTTCCCTTTGAGTCTGCATTACATAACTTTTGTCACTTTAAATGAAAGTGTGTGGAAAAAAGTAAGGGCTTCATGTGTTTAGTGCTATATATAGAATTAAGGACCAGAGATACAAATCATAGGAGACAGATTTCTGAGGGTTTTTTTGGTATTAGGATTTGAACTCAGGACCTCACACTCCATTGATGCTCTATCACTCAAACTAAGACCTCAGCCTTGCTTTTTTGCTAGTCACTTTATAAGGGAGTCTGTCAGACTTCTCTGCCCAGGTTGGCTTCAAACTGCAATCCTCCAGATACTGACCTCCTGAGAAACTAATGATTATAAGCCTGTCACCAGCACCGGTTATAAGAGAAGATTACAAAAGGAAGAGAAAAGAGGGCTGGGAATGTGGCTTAGTGGTAGAGTGCTTGTCTAACATGCATGAAACCCTTGGTTCGATTCCTCAGTAACACATATGCAGAAAAGGCCAAAGTGGCACTGTGGCTCAAGTGGTAGAGCACTAGCCTTGAACAAAAGAAGCTCAGGGACAGTGCCCAGGCCTTGAGTTCAAGCCTTATGACTGGCAAAGAAAAATAAAGAAAAGAAAAAGAGAGAAAGGAAGGAAGGAAAGAAAAAAAGAAAAAGAAAATCCAGTGGCAGGTGAACAGGTTTCTTCACTTGTGGCCCTTTCATTGATGCTAGAAAGGAACAGTGAATTGATGGGAAGACTAAGTGAGGTGACCATAGTGTCAAGATTGTTTCTTAATGTAAACTTCTGGAGACTGTTAATTCTCCTTCTTATATTCTTCACAGATTGTGATAGGAACCTACAAAGGATTAATGTTTAGGTAGAAGGATCAAGCCTCATTTCTGTTACATTGAATGTTTGGCTGTCATTCTAGGCACTCACTTATGTCTCTGCCTGTCAGGATGATAGGTACCGAAGTCCCACTGTACATCATAACCCAGGCTGGACTTGGCAGGTTTAAGGGTGTAAGCTGCAAGTACAGGTTTCCTACTTCAGGAAGTTGTTGAGTTTTAAAGACTGCTGGAAATAGGATCTTAATACAAAAGATATTTGACTAGTTAATATAGCAATGTTACAGGTTGTCACAGAAAAAAAAAAATTAAAGGCCTGGCTTTGAACTGCAATTCCCAAATCTCACCTGCCTACGTTGTTAGGATTGCAGGCATGAACCATTGGCACCCGTCTTGATTCTTAACATTTGCACATGTCAGATTGTTATGCGAGCCTTTGCTTCTGATCCGTCGAGTCAGGGTCTGTACTCTTCATTTTCCCTCCCAGATAGCCAGGTAAAGGCAGCAAGGTGCTGAAGGAAGCCACTAGGCCTCCATTACCTAGGCAGCCTGCTTGCATCTTGTGTAACTTCCTAACAATGCCAAGAAGCAACATATGGCACTCTGCATACCTATCTAAGCCAGGTTGGTATTTTCTATATACCTATTGGGTGTCGGATGGCAGAGGAAGCCTTTACATTCTCTGACTCACTGGTCCTTACTACAGATACCACTCTAGTTTATAGGCAAACCAAGGTTTAAAGAAATAGAGCACCTTTGTTGAAGTAACAAATCTGAAAAAATGTCTCCACCATCAAAACAAGTGAGTGACCTTGGATGTTTGCCTTACATCAGAATGTCCAGATGTCTATCCATGCTAGCTCAAGTTTCCCAAGAGGGTCATGGGGTCTAGGAACGATGTTGCCCCTAGAGGAAGATGCCGAGAAGGCTGGCTTCAGAGGTAGCTGGCTGTACAAAAGGGCCAGCTGGAGGGTCTGGAAACTTCCTGCAGTAGGCCAAGGCTTCAGCTCTCCAGAAAATAGGTTCATCCTGGAGAGACCTGGAGATGATGATGTTCAAAGCACACTAGGTACTCTTTCTGGGAATGGGAGAGACACATGCACCACAAGAAAGTTGGCAGTCTTCTGCACAGCTCTATAGACCCTTCCTGCCCCTCCAGCCATCACCCTAAATCATCAAACACAATCCAAATCCCTTCCAATGTGCACCAAGCCAACTAACACATCATGACCAGTGAAATGCCTATGGCCAAGTAATTAACCTGTAGCTCTTCCTGCTTCCTGCAAAGACTTCTAGGCTCACTGAATGCCAAAGGCCGTGGTCTCATTTGTCTCATAGTCAGTTGCCTCTCTTGAAGAATAACGCGCATTTCATTCAGATAATATTCCTTATGGGGTTAGAGTGATAGGTCTTTGATAGCTAATTGTCATCTTCATCCCTATTATTTGACTGATAGTCAACATAAACATAAACATAGCATTGTCCTGGTGCTAGGGGTTCATGCCTGTAATCCTAGCTACTCAAGAGGGTGAGATCTGAGGATTATTATACCCCGAGGAGGAAAGTCTGTGAGACTCTTCTCTCTATTCAACCAGCAAAAAGCCAGAAGTGGAGGTATGGCCCAAGGGATAGTGAAAAAGGGACAATGCTCTGGCTATCTGTTCTAGCCCCGGTACTGTTGTGTGCACGTGCACGCGCGCGCGCGCGCATACACACACACACACACACGGAAAAGAAGAAAAAGAAAAACAGAATAAACTCACCTGAGACATAATCTCACACTGGATACTATGATTCTTTTTCTTCAGTTACTGTCCACACACGGGAGCAGGGGCAATTTCTGTTTTCTCTGATAACTGGCCAGTTCCTTGAGGCAGGGTCAAGCCTCAGTTTCCTAGATCTCCTGGTCCCAAGAATACATGCACCCATGTGGTTTCCTCTAAAGCCAAGTCATATTGGCATAAAACAAAATTCTGCAGTTATAATTAATAATCAAGATTCTAGCTTAATAATTTCTCTGCATCTATTTAATTAATATTTTATGTTGACTAGCTCTTAGTTTGATAAAAGATATTTAACATAATCTGAGATGTTAGAATGAAGAAATTTTCCTCCTAGCCAAACAATATCACCTTTATTGAGCCTAACTAAAAAGTTTAATTTGAGGAGAGACAGATTTACCTTCAAAATGTTCTTCTTAGTGCAATCATTTGTTTGCCTGATGAATATACCACTCAACTATTTACTAAGTATTATAGAAAATGTCCATTCAGTGCAGGAGTGGAGTGTTGAACCTTGACACCGTCCTTATCTCTAAGAAGTAAGAATGAAGTAAGGCTGGCACATATTGACTACATATATTCTTGTTATTACTCTGTGGTGTGTGTGTGTGTGTGTGTGTGTGTGTGTGTGTGTGTGTGTGTGTGTGTGTGTGTGTGTGTGTGTGTGTATTAGTACTGGGACTTAAACTCAGGGCATTCTGCTCTTAACTTTTTCACTCATATAGCTGGTGCTCTACCATTTGAACCAGGTCTCCACTTTGCATTTTACTGGTTAACTGAAGATAAGGTCTCCTGGACTTTTATTCTCTGGCTGGATTTGAACCTGGATTCTCCAGGTTTCCACCTTCTAAATATCTAGGAACACAAGCATTACAAGTTATTGATTTTTTTCCCCTAGGGATGGGACCCAGAACCTGACACATGCTAGGCAAGCATTCTACCACTGAACTATACTCCCATCTCTATTTTTCTTACTACCATATGTTCTCCAATTAATAATGAATACAAAATTCTTCACAATGCCAATT